AGGCTAGCCGATTAGACCAAAAGGCCTTTCTCCCAGTTATTACAATAAAAACAACATCATGATAAAATCTTCAATCTACGCAGAGGCTATCAATAAAATACAGCTATCATCTTTCATTCATTCAAAATCAACTGAAGATTTTACAAATTTCACCAACACCTAAATCAACTTAAAACACAATGAAATGAAATGTGATTTAACTTCCTATGGTTCTGATCTAATCAAGACAGGTATATTCTATACAGTGTACACTGGCCTAATCAAGACAGGTATATTCTATACAGTGTACACTGTACCGTGTAATTAGATCAAGTCTGTGTTTTTGTCATCTGAGTGAATGTTATAACACAGGATTGTTAGATATTCAGTAACTAACATACCATACATATTAACATACCATGGTACCATACATATTATACCATGGTACCATACATTATAGTATACCATGGTACCATACATTACATCATACCATGTTACCATAATATCATGGTACCATACATATTATATCACGGCAACATGTCATAATTACAAAACTAGATTATTTATTTTATTTCGAATAATAAAGCTACTGATTGCTATATGAAGGATCGTGGAATTCATTGTTAAATAAAATATTGTCAAAGGTGGAGCGTTAAAGAAATATCTGTCCAACCAATGAATCAATGTCTTTTAGTTTTTATTTATCCCTATAAATCTTTTGGTGGGCCTCTTTTAATCAGGTGGGTTGGATGGCTGAATGGTTAGCGTGCGCGTGCTGTATCATAAAGTCTGTCATTGAGTCGACTGGCGTGGTTTCGAATCCCCGGTTGTACGTAGCAAGGAGTAGGGTCGCCTGTCCAACCTCGTGGGTTTTCTCCGGGTCCTCCGGTTTCCTCCCACTGCTAAAGACCCCTACGCCCAAGCGAATTATGTAAATAAAATTAAACCATATGTTCCGAAATGTTTTTGTTGTATTCACCGTGATGAAATTAAATTGTCAAACCTTTCTGAAATATCGCCCCTTCTTAGGATTTATCAGTGTGATTTCCCCTTGTCAGTGGTACAGGGTGGAGGGCATGACAAGGTGGAGGGCGTGACAAGGTGGAGGGTGTGACAAGGAACAGTGTCTGTTCGTTCAGATGAAACAAAAAAAAACAGGGTCCTCTGCACATGTTGGCATGCTCATAAAAAACCATTTGCAGTTGAATCTCAATGTAGAATAGGTGGCATGCTGGTGTCTGGACAAAATTTCCCCCATAGCACACTGGATATTGTACACCTGTCTTCATTAGCCCAGTCGATGTACGCCCATCTTCATTAGACAAGTCGGTTTACACCCATCCTCATTACCCCAGTCGGTACATTAACTGTTTTTTGTGGACAAAAATGCAAAAATATGACTGATTTATCTCCTTCTACTGTTTTTTCTACATATTTCAAGGAGAAAAAAACCTGGTATATTCCTTTAATAAAAAACTGTTTGTGATGTTTTGTATTTTTTATTTGTAAATAAACAAGGATTATACATGCCATGTAAACAATCCATACTCTTATCTATATATCTCTATATATTATCTATATATTTACCAGTTGTTCACTAGAGCGACAAATGTCATTCAACTTCTTACTGTTCTGCACCAATGGGGATAATGAAGATGGGTGTACATACTAAAATCAGGATACATACTAAAATCAGGATACATACTACTCTTGTTACTATTTACAACTGTCAAGTTATCTTTACCAATAATATAACCACTGTACAGGACCAACAACCAATAATATATACAGGATCTCGTTTAGATGTCTGGACCAATAATATATACAGGATCAACAACCAAGCACCAACCAACCGTCTTCTTGTTGGCACGTAAAACAACCCTGGACAGTTGGCATTTAAGCACATTTCCCCCTCTAGCACATTACATGTTGTATCCTCCGTTGACCCGTTGATGCAGAAAATTATGATGTTAAATATCACGTGACATGTCAATGATTTTATTACAAGGATATATTTTAAACAGAGGAACGTCTTTATTTATGGTTTATTTATTCCTATCTATATGAGTTTTACATTACCTGTATGTAAGTAGGTCAGTGATGTGCATCATGTATCTGTTGTTATTAGTCAAGTTGGTTGTGAACAGTAGGATGTTAAAACACCTCAATCATCCTATCATGTATAGAAACAGATCACCCACCTGGTCACCTGTCTCAATCACATAATAAATACATGACATTCAATAATTACTTGCACAATTATCTTTTCATAAAGCACCGAGCAGTCAAATTACTTATTAGTTATCACCCTGCTTAACATGAGCAGAAAGAGTTAAACGGACTTGCCTCTGTATCTGTGCCAGGCTTTATGGTTTATATTTCTACGATTTCTAACATCGCCCGTTTGTAATGTGAATACATCTTCCGTTTTTTGCTGTCTATTCAAAGGATGGAAATTTTTTATAACAAGGAAGTAGAAACATATCTGGACAGGAAAACTGTTATTTCTACCTGTTTATCAATCATCATTTCACTGATCTACCTGTGATTCTTCGTCAAGGTGTTCAAATTGTACATCATATAAATATGTTAGAGTGAATTATTTATATCATATACCGGTGGATGTTTATATAACACTTAGTAATATACCACACCTTCGTATATCATACCTTGACTACATTAACTGGTATATAATACATCAATATATCACATCTTGACTACATTAGCTAGTATATCATACATCAATATATCATACCTTGACTACATTAACTGGTATATTATACATCAATATATCACACCTTGACTACATTAGCTATTGTAGGGTTTCTGACTAAATTAGCTGACCTTCGGGTTAAATTTAAATATCACACCTAGACCATGTTAGCATTTAAATTCATAGTTTTTTGTGTAAAACCACTACATGTACACATTTAATTTATAAATTGTGACAATACTAAGAATTGTCATGTATCTTGAAAGAAATATCTCAATTCTCTGTTAAAAACAAAAACTGCCAAAAATTGACCAGTTTATAAAATACTGAAGAGAAAGCCGTGGTGTAAAATATTGTATACAGAACCATGCAATCTTTAATACACTCAAATAAACCCAGAACTGTGTAATACACTCAGATAACCCACAACTGTGTAATGTTATATATAAAAACTTGTATTATTCAACATGCTGATACATGGATATATATTTATAAACAAACTTAAACCTACATTAAAATATTTCAACTATCAACTCCCAATATAAAAACAAATCACATTCAATCCAAGCACGTGCTCAAAATACCAAGTCTAAGGGCGAATTCAGCATAATCAAGGTACAACAGAGAACAGACTTTATAGCTAGCCATGGAAAGTATTGTATATCAGACAACACTAGGCGTTATAGCTAGCCATGGAAAGGGTTGTCAAAGAACAGCTGCCTTGGTAAAATCCATCAATGTAAATATTAAATGGCAAACTTTATATAGAATTGATTGATTTCAATAAAAGTAAGAACACATGATTTTAATTAAAAGTGCTTTCTTTATTTTGAATGACCAGAGTGATTCACTTGTAACATGAAGTGTAGGTGAGATAATCTTTAATATACAAATAAACGCTAACTGTACCATATAAATTCAATATACACCCTGGTAATTACTACTTCAATTTCCACCCTGGTAATTACTACTTTGCCGTATGATTTCAATATACAGCCCCCTAATTACTAGGTAACTACTGCACAATTACAGTAATCGCCAGTGTGTAATATGATTTCCATATACACCAGTGTGCAATATTTCTTATACCAACCAGTAACAGAAATTAACAGTGTATAATTAACAGGTCATTATACACTAATTACAGTAACTATCAGTGTGCAAAATGTACTTAAACTAACACTATGCAATATTACTAGAACAGTAACTGTCAGAGTGCAATATGTACTTAAACTTCTGCTATGCAATATTACTTATAACACTAACTGTCAGTGTGCAATATGATATGAATATACACTGGTAATTAACTGACTACTGTGCCATATAATTTAAACCAACCAGTAACAGAAATTGCCAGTGTGCAATATGATGGAATTAACCTGCTATTGTGCAATATTACAGAGGCTGTACTAATTTAACAGAGATCACAAGTATGCAATATGAATTAAATATCCATCAGGGTATCAACTGCTACATATTACTTAATAAACCACACCCTTTACATTTGATTCTGTGGTCTCAGATTTCAGGACATTAAAGTTTTAACTCATCAGGTTTTAATTTTATCAGCTTGGTAATGTCAAGATGTCAAGATGCATGGGTTATAGTCTTCATATCTAACAAGTTTTAAAATAAATAAATTTCCCCTGACATACAGTCCCCGAAACATTGAAAATCAAGCGTTTAAATAAATAATTAAATAACATTTTGTAAGATTTTTTTTTTATATTGGTGAATGTCATCTTCCCTGGTCTCATAGCCTTAAGTTACTTTAAATTCATGATTTGTAATGGAGAATACTAATGTTTAAATATTTCTTTCTTGAATTATCTTTGCTTTTAAAAATAGAACTCAGAAGGATGAAGTTTTCCGCTAATTGTTTGATATTCGTTAATGAAATCTAATTATGTTTTAATTACTGTAAGAATCTTTGTTTCTGTTTTCATTTAATAAAATAACATTTCACACCAATAATCTTGTACTTGTTTTACTGGGTTTGTATTCTCCAGTGCTCAGAGAACAAAATATATAATATTATCGAAAGGATATTTTACAGGTATAAGTATTGTTGAGTTCTGTATATCAATCAATACACCTTGAACACGTGGTTTACTTCTATTACGTGTGATAATTCACAGGTAAGTTATTCTATCAGTTAATTAGAAATGTTTTTGGGTGACGTCAACAAGGTGTAAATGTTATGAAGTGAATGTCAAACTAAACACATGTAACGGCGACAATCAGTGTACGCACAGGTGAGTTGATTACAGGTGATTTGATTACATGTGATAAAAAGAGCATCACTTACCTGAGTGGAATAAAATTATAAACAGCACTCCACCAAGTAGGTAAACTTTGAGAACACGATTAGATAAATCCATTCGTCCAAAATAATTAATAATTGATACCGACATAACTAAAATAAATAATATAACAAGATATCGTCCTGTATCCTCACACGGTATTCAACGGAGATGTCAGTACAGACCAAGTTACCGGTAAAAATGACATGGCTATCAACAACACTCCACTCTTCCATAAAACTTGAGTCCTAAACACACGAATGAGTCAACGTCAACCCTTGAATACAAACAAACAAACAACGCCGCTACAACCTGATTAAAAACACACTTTTACATGGCCCGTTATTTCACCAAGAAACTAATATTGACTCAAGGTATTGGCGAGCAGTCTTGTCCTATCGTTTCACTCACATACTTGCAAGCTTTCACTGACTACCGCTGTCTCAGTTTACAGTTCAACTAACAGAAGATGAGACTTGATAATCACTGCTATACCTCATGAATATTCATATTATCATTCAACGGTAATCCTTATGAACGGTTATCCAGGCGTGGTAAGATATTGGAATTAAATGATTTCATGAATGAATAGAGAACGGGCTTTGTGTGCCATGGGAATAAGTTGTGAAAGGGAATATTAAATCAATGTAAGCGTGGCGAGGCTACAATACGATCACTAGAGACTATTTCAAGGAATTCAGATATTAAACATTTTATGGGATACCGTTACAAATTAAATTCTCCAACAGTCATAAAATAAAGAATAAGTAAAAATAAAATTCGACTAATCTGCAATTAATTTGGGTTTGGTTTCAATTTAAATCCTTCGGTCTGTTTAAACCAGCCGCCGTGTTAATTAAATCGTATATTAATGAAATCGTATATTTATTTTCCAGGTTGATTTTTAAACTGTTATATCTGGAATATTGTTTATCGTCGACGGTTTGCTCGCCGTTTGATTAGGTAACCGATTTCACTTGGTTTTATTTTTATTTAGTTGCAAACAGGCAAATGAAATGGGGTTAAACGTCCTACTGTGCTGCAATAACTAGGCTAATGACGACGGTAATACGCCATTACAGTTCGTCCGGAAAGCGGCAATAAAGCTTACTCTTATATGGAATTCCAACTGTCAAGGGCTTTTTTTACGTGCGCGCCAATGAGTTTACAGGACATCAGTTTTTATTCCCATCCGAACGTTGTCCCTTGCCCCCCCCCCTCCACCCCACCCGCCCTGCATCACTGACAAAGAGGAACAACGCCAGAACATTCGCGGAATCGAAAATGGGACGTCCAGATTAGTGATTCGCGAGACATCCTCGTCAAGACCAGTTGCTAGTTTCCGTCACCCAGCTGGGACACTTGTCCAGGGACCCGGAGGAATGCCATGAAGTGTTTCAAGAAACAAATTGTTACTTGATCGTAAAGTGGGCTGTAGAAGAAAAACGGTGACTTTTCTGAATAGGCGAGCGGGTGATTAGAATTGGATTCTGTCTGTCCATTTTTTTTGGCAAAAATTGGTGAATTAAAAACTATAATATAAGCCATTTGCCCAGGCCTTCCTGCCGTGGGGTCGGGGTCGGGGCCCGTTCTCGTTCCGTTTGAGATCTCCTCACCGTTAGGGTTTCGGGGGGGGGGGGGGGCGGGAGGTAATAAGCCAAAATGTCGCTAGAAACCATGTATCTTGTCTTTCTTGTAATTTCGTTTTTTGAGTGAAGTCTGGATCACTACAGGTCCGGATCTATACAGGGTATCGGGGGGGCCCCGGGAGGTAATAAGCCAAAATGTCGCTAGAAACCATGTATCTTGTCTTTCTTGTAATTTTGTTTTTCGAGTGAAGTCTGGATCACTACAGGCCCGGATCTATACAGGGAAGTAGACGTTTACGATTGGTCCCCGGATCAATTTACTTGAATTGATATTTGTTTATTTCTAAAGAAGTCTTGTCCACAGGTTTGTCTACCCGGTATTTTTTGTGCGTAGTGTGGTTCTCCTGTACTTGTTATTATCAGTCAACAGCAAGATTGAAAAGTACTTTGGGGTACAAATTTGGAACCAAAAACTATCGAGGAATGCCATTAAGATATTTGGCGAGAAATGATGTAATTGTCGACCTACCGCGTGTAAAGTGAATAATTAGTCATATGCAAAATACACGTGTTAACAAAGTATGTTAACACAACAAATATAAGGTAAAAACACTACTCATGGTTAGAATACCTGGAAAGTTAAAACCATTTACCCGTGTAGCACCAACCAGGTATGCTAGGCATACACGATGGTGACAATATAACCCTACTCTTCATCCCATGACAACGGCCATGCGAAGGACGCCAATCCAAAACATTTTTTAACAAATAAGTTTCAATAAGCCATGTAAATGTTGCAGGACTAAAATATTATAAACGACGCTTCAACAACAGTTTCTACAGAAGTTAAATATTTCATCTAAAATAAAATGTCTCCCCTAACCCCTCATATTACTGGTTTCATATTAGTTAAACCCATTTGTCTCCTTTTCTTGGTAATAAAGTAAAAGTTATCCAGACTGTAAAATATGTCGTCCGATCTTGGTCTCCATTTGATCAGGACGGACAGCCTGGCACGGAACATTGTCCCTAGTCGAAACACCGAGGCCCCGTGTCGACGGTGGCATGCACGAAAAGAAACCCTGGTAGTTGGAATTCGAAATTACACACTGCATGCCGTATGTTTGTCTTATTAACCCAGTCGATGCAAAAAAGTAGGATGTTACACCCCATTTCATTTCATTTTGAATGAAAAACTTATTACAATTAGTAATCATATCGTAGATCATGATCATCTAAGTCTAGCATCACTTTGTGTTTATATCTCATCAGCGTCTTTATTGCTATTAAATAACTGAAGAATACTTCATGTCTATCTACGAACATCGAGCTCAAGATAGTAGGCTACTCAACAAAGGTTTTCCTTTTGAATTATCTAAATTACTATCTGTAAAATGAAACTTTTCAGCCATTAATTTTGGTTAAATTTCACATCTCCATCTGTTTAGCTCCTGATCTTCCGGTCTCCCCCTCACTGATAAAGACACCTAGGCTCAAAATTGTCGAATGTACGTTACAACCCCGCCTCTCTCCCTGCTCTTGATGTTAAGAATGTACGTTACCACCCCGCCTCTCTCCCTGCTCTTGATGTTAAGAATATAGCACATTTTATCCGTGGTTTGTCGAGGCCAAGATCTGGGGTTTGTTTTACATTAGGCTGCAACCAAAAAAACAAAATATTTCAACCGTTATCAGGGGCGGATCTAGGAATTTTGAAAAGGGGGGGGGCGCCGCAAAATGTGGGCACTGACCGCGGAGACGGGGCACGCCGCTGAGAGGGGGTGGGGGGTCCCCCCTCCCCCAAGAAAATTATCCGTCATTTCCTTGCATCTGTAGCCATTCCAAGAGCTATTTGGCTGATATTTTCGTCCAAGTAAACGTTCGGAAATCGTTTTAGAAGAGCCTTAAAATCGATCAAAAAAGCCAGTTGAACATGCGACTCGAAAATTGTCAAGGCGATCGAGGCATTATGATGGGGAAAAAGACGAATCTATTCCCTAGCCACTTCACTATTTAAGCCTTGTAACTTGTACTGTCTACTGTCCACATATGAAACAGTGCTACATCAAGTTGCACTCATACGCGTCGGTGATGGGCATGAGTGTATACGCCGCCGATTCCACAAGATGCCATCATTGATGTCTGTCTATAGTCACTCTATAGGATTAGGGCACCGTCAGCTAAACAACAAGAATTCTAGACCAGACTCGTATGTTTGAGTCGATGGTTTGAGTCTTTTGGGATCCCTGCAACGGGTTGGGAACGGGCAGATTTGGGTCTGAGAAAAGGCACTTTCAGCAGTAAAAAAGGGCACTGTCGAAAATTAGGAGGAGAGCGCGCCCCTCGCGCCCCCCTTGTATCCCCCTCTGGTTATGTTTGTTAAAATGATCGTTCGTTCGTTCGGCTTGATTTTGCACGCGCGCGTTTACCAAGGGTGATATTACCGGCCAAATTATTGTGACCTCAGGTGTAGTGAAGGCTTTAAAGTAAAGGTCATCAACAGGTGTCTGTATTCTGTTACAATCTAGTCGTTTTTTTTTTAAATAAATTATTTAACGCCTGTATAAACTGTTATTGAAACATGTGAGTACAGGTCTAGTATAAAATAAAACATCTTTGTAATGTTAAATTGTCTTTTAATAGTGCGTTAATTTCATTACATCAGATTTCACATTTTATATAGGTCAAATAATTAAAACTTCTCCTTGTCTGTTTTGTTCGCCTGTATTTTAATACGGTCGTATATTGTCGTCATACTGTCTGAACGGCTGTCACTCGGTCAAACTTCTCGATCTCTTGTCATAGGGACATTGGTTTATCGTCCCACCCAAACGACTATACGTTGTACCTTACTAGACCCTTTGTCCTGCACCACTGACAAGTACACAGGACCCTCTTCCCATCTGAACAACAGATGCTGCCAGACCCTTTGTCCCGCATCATGTTATCGGGATTGAACCCAGACCCCCTGAGCCACTGCGGCTCCAAACAAATGTGGTATAATACAAACATAACTGCATCTGAAGATATTTATCACACCTGCATCTGAAGAAAGTTTTTTATAAACATATTTTTATTGTAATACCTTGTTGATATACATGACGATAAGTAAACAGTCGATAAGTTCCCTTACTTTTAATTTATGTGTAGTTTCAATTATCTTAATTTATATACAGTTATAAAACCTTCCAAGTAACCTTTTCTGTGCCATCCGGGAAATCAAAGTGTACTATCAGGGAAATTTTTTTCCGGTCAACGGCGCCACGGCCCATTCTTATTTCGGATTCCAACAATTAAGGGTTATTTTACGTGTCGGGGATTGGATGGCCGAATGGTTAGCATGTACGTGCTGTATCATAAGGTCTGTCATTGAGTCAACTGGCGTGGTTTCGAATCCCCGGCTGTACGTGACAAGGAGTAGGGTCGCCTGCCCAACCTCGTGGGTTTTCTCCGGGTCCTACGGTTTCCTCCCACTGCTAGAGACCCCTACCCCAAGCGAATCATAGAAATAAAATTGAACCATGTGTTAGTCCCGAAATGACCTAGTTTGTGTCGAGTGGACGTTAAACCCAATCTCTCCTCCTATTTTACGTGCACACTATATAGTGTGTACACGGAAACTTGGTTTATTGTCCCATCCAAACAAATAGATGCTGCTCCGTGTCCAGGTCCTGACACGGGGAAATTTAAACCATTAGACGCTGAGAGTGACAGCTGGCAGTATGTACACAGGGAGTTAGATGCAACTTTACATCGTATTACAATTACTGGATTCCCAGTCATAGCGAAAGAATTTGTCTATTATAGGTCGGTTAAGGAGTAGATCAGGTTGGTTAGGGGAGGAGATCAGGTCG